GAATTTAATAAGAATCAATCAAACCCTGTTGATGGATAAAATTATAGATGGAAAGCTAACATATTTTATAATCTTTCTAATAAAGGTACAACATATTAGGAATGAGAAAATAGCAAAATCTAAATTTCTTTGAATTGAGGGCGACTTTGATCAATTGATATCGTATTCTAATTGCAGCAATAACAATTTCTTAAAAATGATTGATCTTCAACATGAGTAAATGTTATTCGCTTGTTCTTGAATTTAAATATTGGCATCAGAATATTCATAGTATTGACTTGCTATTAATAGAGTGAAAATCTTTCACCTTTAATTTCTATATCCTATCTCCCATTTAGTAATGTCTGTAAATCCTTTTTATATGAATTATTGTAAACCATTCTTTCATATCCAATTCTTCTCTAGTATCCCTAAAAGATTTACAGAGCAAGAGCGTTTCATTAGAAGTAGTAGCAAAATCATTTATCCCTTCAGCTAAACTACAAAATTGGGTTTTACTTGCTCCTTCTTGGTATGCTTAGGATTTTTATCCTGGAAATTTTAATTTTGCTGTTACTGTACTGCAACAAAGATAATATGCTCTAATTACTACTGTGCTGGGCATAGAAGACACATCATAATTGCCCAACACTTTTTGATTGTTAGCTGGTTGTATATCTAGGATAAATGATGTGCATATATTCTTGGCTTTTAGTAATATCTGGTAGGAAACGTCCTTGATAATCTTCTGCTTGTTTGCTATTATGGTATTTTGCACAATCTTGTAGCTCGCTGTTTGACAAAAAAAGTTCTTCCCACTTCACATAATTCCATATTTCGTGTACTTGCTCAGAATCATGCTATGTTTCTTGGTCTATGGCTCTTTTACTAAAGAATTTTGTTTTTAGCAACCCCTATTTCCTAGCTTTATCTTGTTGCTGATTTAATAATTATAGAGATGCAGTTAGTAATTTTCAGTTATTCTTTGTACAAACTTTGCTTTTTTACGTTCAAACAGTATAATGATAATTACTGCTATAGCTTTGAACGCTTGACTATTCAGCTGATGCTGATGTTCTTAATTGGCATATTTATATCTTGTTTCCCCCTTTCTCATCCTTGAAATGATTGAGATGACGAAAATTGAGGTTGTTATTTTCCCAACACAATTTATTAATGGATAGAAGATCAAAAATTTGCATTTGGAACTACCTCATTTTGCATAAATGAACTTCTAGAATACCCTCATAATGCACATAACTAATGTTCCTTTTATTTGAGAAATAACTCTCTTTCAAATACTGATAATATGATTTGGATGCTTATCGAATG